CAAAAAAGAATGGGTAAACGTCTGCGTGATCTAGTAAATAGAACTGTTAAACAAACAGTTGTAAAAACCGGAAAAAATGCTGGTAGAACAAGACAAATTAAATTACTCGGTGGCAAAGGAAAGCTCACTGGAAAAGTCATTGATAATTTGAGTCGATACTACGGAGCAGCAATCAGACATAATTGTGATTCTTTAGAAGGAATGAAAAATGCAGTCTGGGCAACGTTCTACCACCAGCAGTCAACAGACGATTATCCTCAACACCATAAGTGCATGAGCGGTGAGAACTCGTAGTGTTCGTATCAAAAAGCTTTGGCCACAACAGGAGTGGAAAATTTTAATCATGACTACACTCCACTTCCACAAGAAGTCATAGAAGCGATCAAACCGATTTATGAAGATTTGAGTAAAGACGAACTTCTAGAAAGGTGTCTTGGAGGTTTTACTCAAAATGCCAACGAAAGTTTGAACCAGCTGATTTGGAGAATTGCACCGAAAAAATTATCTGGCAGCAGACAAATTGTTAAATTTGCATCTTATGTAGCTGCATGCACATTCAATGAAGGTGCTGGTGCTCTTCTAACTTTTCTGTCTGACATGGACGTCAGTGTCGGCCCAAGCGCTAACGAGTATGGATCATCTACGGACAGCAATCGCATTGATAGGGCCGAGTTCCAAGCTGTGCAGCAGAGCAAAGAAGCCAGAATAAAACGAAGACTTGAAAAAAAACAGGCTGAAGACATCGACAATGCTGAAGGATGTGTGCTGTATGGAGCTGGAATTGATGATTCTGGGTAAGTTTAAAAAATAATTTTTTTTCTTCACTATTTTGCTTCACAAATTTTAAACGCGTTTTTCTCAAAACTACTTTTTCGAAGACCGTGATCACTGCCATTTGAAAACTACTCGACCGACTTATTTCAAATTTTGTACACATTTTCTTTATATAAAATACCTCCCCCCTACGTTTAGTAAAAAATTTTTTTTTAACATTAAGGGTGTTTCCCACCCACAAAATGGCAAAAATTTTAGTCGAAAATAACGGTTCACACTTTAGATGACCGCCAAAAATTTTTAAATTAAAAAAAAAATAATTAGAGAACGTTGGGGGGAAGATTTGTTTATAATTTAACTAAATTTTTATGGTTTTTCATTTTCAGATAATTTCCAGCCGAGTTACAGTGAACACCGCAAATTGTTTTTTTTTCAAGACGTCCTGGGGGAAGCTCTGTCACGGGCTAATGGTTTAATATTTTTGCATGAAAAATTTATAGAACATAGTCAAAACTATGCTCAATAATGTATAGAAGGTTTGAATAAAATTGCTCAATCGATATTTGAGATAAAAAATCACAAAAAAAGTGTTTTTTTTTACGCGGAAACCCAGACCCCTCCCTTAAAATAGCAATAATAATTATCATAATAAGAATAATCTATATTATTAAGAGAATAAAAAAAATTTCGTGGCCAGTGCATTTATATGATAAAATGGGTTTATATGGTTGAGTTTGGTATCATTAGAAAGGTCTTGACCTAGAGTTGTGCCTTTTCAAGGTTTCATATCATTCTCACCAATAGTCAATAGTGTTTATTATGATAAGAATTAAGGCTGCATTCGAAAATGCTCTATCTTTAGATACATAATCAAGAAATTACCTCGCATCTGGTGAACTATTGCCATTTTTAAAGAT